CCAACAGCCATCAGATCTCCAGGAAACACAGAAAGTCATTGGGTCACATAAAAACACATTTTACTGGTCCAATAGAGCCTGGTGGAACCACTGAGACTATGGCCCTAGCTGCCCTTCAGGTCTGGAATTGAACCCACACCTGTGGCTTCCAGCCAAACAAAGACAGGCATATTAGGTGAACATTTACCTGAGGTAGACACACTCCTTGGAGAGAACAATCATGGGAGAAAGAAAGGCTGTGTATGCACAGGGAGACAGCTCAGGGGGCAGGAGTGCGTGGAGGGATGGACACAGGGAAGAGGTAACTATCAGGAGGAAGTGGGAGGGGAGCTGTTGCATTGGGGTAAATTGTAGTCAATGTCATGAGACAAAGTGTATGTGAGCTGCTGTACGAAAAGTGAATTTGCTCTGTAAATTTGCACCCAAATCACAATTTAAAAAAAAAGAAAACACATTTTACCTGGAGTGTTGATAATGATGTAAATGCATAGCTCTCTCTAAAAGTCACTAAGATAAAAACAACACATGGGGGAGAATGCACCCTTAAAGAAGTACCCCAGCTCTGACTGACAATCACTCAGCTGGTGCAATGAGACACAACCAAACCAAATGCTGCCTCCATGACCAGACATATACCTTCACTAATATGAGTGAGGGGTCAGTTGACATATATGGGGGGATCCTCAGAGGCTCCACCATCGCCTTGATGGGTTGGTGAGCGAGAGAGGCTCAAGTGGAAATAGACAGCCTGCTGGGCCCAATGTCCCCACCACAGAGATGCCTAAAGAAGTAGATTAAAGAGGGAACCACTGGGCCTGTATCTTTTCTATTTAACAATGTAAAGGAAGTCCCACTCTGCAAATAAGGGGGGGGGGGGAATATATGTGTGTGTGTGTATGTGTATGTATGTGTATATATGCATATGTGTATATATATGTATGTATATATATATATATATATATATATATATATATAATGTATGTATATATGTGTGTGTGTGTGTGTACACACATACATATATATTAGAAAGGTTTCAGAATTGGGAAAAAATGAATTGTTGATATTTGCAGAAGATATGACTGTGTACATAGAAAACACATGATGGAAATGGGATGGGTAAGGCTGTGTCAACTTGGCTGTCAAGTTGTGTCAACTTGGTAAGGCTGTGTCAACTTGAGAATCATGATTCTCAGTGGTTTGGCAGTCATGATGCTGTCATCCCCCACGATGAGAGGTGATATTATGTAGTCACCTCCAGGATGAGATGCTATGAGATGCCAATCAGTTGAATCAATTGAATGTGTCCTCAGGGTGTGGCCTGCTGCCAGCATCCATGGATGTTCCGGCAAAGCTCTCTGGCTTTTTGCTAGATCTGGAGCCTGCATCTAACTCATCATCATCTCCAGTCCTTGGACTTGAGCCAGCAGCCTGCCACACTGCCTGCCGATTTCGGAACTGTTGCCTTCGCAGCCTGTGAGCCGGCAATCTGCCACCTTACCTGCCCATCTAGGGCTCGTCAGTTCCTGCAGCTACATGAGTCATGAGAAGCTTCCAGCCTGACATTTGACTGACTAACTTGGGACCTGCCAGCCTCTAAAATTCCATGAGCCACTTCCTTGAGATAAATCTCTCTCTCTCTCTCCCTACACACAAATATATACGTATGTATATGCATATACATGTGAACCACCAGCCTTCTGGTTAGCAGTCAAATGCCTTAGGCACTGTGTTAGACCGGGTTCTCCAGAGAAACAAAACCAGTAAAGCTTATATACAGAGAGAAAGAGAAATTTATCTTAGGAAAATGGCTCACACACTTATAGAAGCTGGCAAGACCAAAGTTCTTGGATCAAACATCAAGCTGGAGGCTTTTCCCGACTCTCGCAGCTGCAGGGCTAAGGAGCTCAAGGGTGGCAGGCAGTATACTGGCTGTTGACTCCAACGAATGACGAATCCAAGATCTCCAGGCCAAATGGTGGATTGTTCACTCACAGACAGTTGTAGGCAGCACAACAGAATCCCGATCCACAGAAGAGTGCCTCTTTTCCCAGGATGTTCACAGATATACTGGAAGCAGGCCACACCCCTAGGGAAGCTCCCTTTCGACAGGTTGGCTGCTCAAAACATATACATCTGATCCCATCATTGGAACAACCCACATCACAACTGCTTACACCACAGAATTGTGGCCAGCCAAGTTGACGCACAGCTCCAACTCTCACAGGCACTCTGCCACCAGGGCTCCTATATACCCCCCCCACACACACACACACGGAGCTCTGGTGGCAGAGTGGATAAGGCTCTGGGCTGCTAACCAGGTCAGCAGTGAAGCCCACCAGCTGCTCTGACTCCAATACCACCCCCTTCGTGGACCTCTCACCCCATCTGGGCTCCGACTGCCCACACAGGGGCATCCCCTTTGTGGACATCTTTGTCACCTGCTCTGACTCTGTCACCCCAAACCAGGTCCCCCTCCTTCCCGCAGACGCCTGCTGCTGTTTTGAAGTCCTAACCCCAGATACCTGTGAACATGCCCATATTTGGAAATAGGGCCTTTGCAGATGTGATCACATTAGCATGAAGTCATACTGGAGTGTGTGTGGGGGGGGAGGCTCTAATTCAATATGGCCGCTGTCTTTATAAAAGGAGAAGAGACACAGACAAACAGACACAGAGGGAAGACAGACATGTGAAAACAGAGGCAGAGACGGGACCACCAGGAGCTTGAAGAGCCAAGGCAGGTGAGCACGGCCCTGCTGACACTTTGACATCGGGCTCTGGCCTCCAGAATCGTGGGAGAATAAACTTGTGTTGTGTTATGCCACCCAGGTTGTGGCCCTTTGGGACAGCAGCCACAGGCTGCTAACACAGGCTCTGACTCCTGACACTGCCCTTTATCCCAATAGGGGTGCCCTCCTCAACCCATTAGGAGCTCTGGTAGCATACTGCCTAAGGCACCTGACTGCTAACCAGAAGGCTGGCAGTTCAAACCCACCAGCCACTCCTTGGAAGAAAGGTTGGGCAATCTACCTCCGTAGTGATACTGCCTCGAAAACCCAAGGAGGGGTCACTACGAGTCGGGTCCGACTCGACGGCACATAACAACAACACCTCACCCCAATTGGGCACAGATGCCCCTTACCAGGCCATCACCCTGCATGGACCATTTCTTCAACCCTGATGGGTTCTAACACCCACAATGGGCGGCCCCCCAAATGAACAGCCTTCACTCTGCTGGGATGCCACTCTGTGCAGACACCCTCCTCACTCCGTTTGGTCACTGAAGCCCCCCCACATGGGCACCCACTTCACCCTGCTCAGGCTGTGACAGCCCACACCAGACAGCCCTCCGTCAAATGCCTACCTTGTTCTGCCCCCACCTAACAGCTTCAGGACAGAATCTTCCAGAGAGGGGAAATTTTAAGGTACCCTTTTAAAGCAATACAATGTTTTCAGATAGTTGTTTGCTGTAGAAAAATGTGTCAAATTGTGAAGCCTGAATCTTAAAACAAACTGTACAAAAGTAAGAAAATATGCATAAATAAATAAAAGAATAAACTCCCTGGTAGGATAATGTAAAGATAATGGTTGCTAACATTTGGGTATGTAAAAAGGTCAAACAAATGGTGTGAGCTCCACTGGTAACCTAAAGGTTGGTGTTTCAGCCCAGCCAGTGGGACGGCAGAAGAAAGGCCTGGTGATCTGCTCCTACTCAGATCAGAGGCAAGAAAACCCGCTGGAGCGGTGCTACTCTGTGCCACATGGGGCACCATGGGTCAGAACCGACTGCACGGCAACTAACAACAACAACAACAACAGCACAGGCTTGCAGATTCTTTTCTACAAAATACACAAACTACATCCTTTTTTTTTTTTTTAAATGACAACTTCCACAACTCTACTGGTGGTGTAGCGTTGTTGTTGTTGTTGTTATGTGCCGTCGGGTCGGACCTGACTCATAGCGACCCCTCCTTGGGTTTCTGAGGCAGCATCTCTATGGAAGTAGATTGCCCAACCTTCCTTCCAAGGAGTGGCTGGTGGGTTTGAACCGCCAGCCTTCTGGTTAGCAGTCAAGTAAGTGCCTACTGATTAACGCATTTGGCTGCTAACCAAAAGGTCAGTGGTTCGAACCTACCATCTGCTCCACAGAAGAAAGATGAGGCAGTCTGCTTCCGTAATGATTCACAGCCTTGGAAACCAATGGGGGTTGTTATGAGTCGGAACCCACTCAATGGCAGTGGGCTTGATTACAAATCACTTTCTTTGTCAGCAGATACACACAACAGCATCACTTCCCCTGGGCTACAGTCCATTTCACGGTCCCACCATAACTCATTTAACGTTCCTTTTTTGCAAAACCCAAACCAAACCAAACCCACTGCCATCAAGTCGATCCTGACTCACCAGCGCCCCTAGAGGACAGAGTGGAACTGACCCACAGGGTTTCCAATCTTTATAAAAGCAAAGCCCAAACCAAATTCACTGCTGTGGAGTCAATTCAGACTCACAGCGCCCCTAGAGGACAGAGTAAAACTACCCCATACTGTTTCCAAAGCTGTAATCTTTACCGAGGCAGACAGCCTCATCTTTCTACCCCAGGTAGAAAGTGGGTGAGTTCCAACCACTGACCTTTCAGTTAGCGGCCGAGTGCTCACCCACTGCCTCACCAGGGCTTTGGCTGCACATGGGGCATAATTCCAATTGCTCGTTCTCAAAGCTGTGAATTATTGGGCAAAGGGGAGTCAGTACTCTGAGAGTTCCTGATGCACGACACCAAATCGCCCCCACCCGCCCAAGGAATTACCTGGGTTCAAGGGTCAGGAAAATCAAGGAGACTCAGAATGTGTTGTGTAAGCGTCACATGCCTACGGGTCCTGCTGGGCAGAGGCCCCTAAGGTGCTTTGAGTGGAGCAGGGATGACTCCTAGCCCAGAAGGCCCAACCGCAGGGCCTGTTGGGAGCAAGCTCTGAGTCTCTCAGGAGAAGGGAGGTTCCACTCACCTGCACACAGGCCTTTAGGGGCCCGGGAGGCTTCTCATCCGGCTCTTCCATGCTCTCCTCCGGACAGGGCAGGGTCCTGAGGGCTCGGAGCTGCAGTGGGAGGAGGCAGCCCTGAGACAGGATCGTGGTCCACGGCCTGTGCACGTGGGCAGGGCACCGCAGGGGCCCCTCCGCTTCACACACGTCTCTCCGCCCCTAGCACATACTCCTTATGGCAAGTGAGCTTCTAGAAGTTCCTGCCCAAACAACTGTTCATGTGTACTCTAGCATCTGTCAGGCACAACCTGCCTCTGCGAGGCCAGGAGCCCACAGTTCCAACCTGGGTCCTCCACCACCTACCCATAAGGCCACCTCCTGCTCAAACACAGCCCCCCCCCCGCCATCTGTAGCACAATCCAGTACCTCCCCTACTTGCACTGGGCCCTAGGATCCCTACAAACACCTAGCAGCCCTCCCACTACACCTGAATCTGCAGCCCCAAATAGCACCTCTTCCCAGACCCTGGAGCCCTGCGCCTGGGATGAACAGCCCAGAAGCACAGGTGACTAAATGCACGCAGCCCATGACATAACCCTGCCCCTTCCAGCAGCTAATTCAGTGGTGGAGAGTGACCCTATCCCTCTAACTACCAGGCCCCAGGAGCCCTGGTGGGACACTGGGGAAGCACTTAGCTGCTAACCGAAAGGCTGGTGGTTCAAACCCACCCAGCTGTTTGAGGGAGAAAGACCCAGCGACCTGCTCCTGGGAAGATGACAGTCAACAAGGCCCTATGCGGCACTTCCACTCTGTCACGTGGGCTCGATGGCGCCCAACTCCATCAACCAAGCTCTACCCACGAGCATCCTCTTGCTGATCGCCTCCCTTTTCTCTAGGAGTCGAGCCCATGGGCAGAGCCCAGCTGCACCCAGAACCTGGTCCCTGTGCCACTGCAACCCACTGACCCTACCAGAGCAGCGCCAACCCAGACTCCAGTCAGAACACCCCGTGTCCTCAGTTTGTAGCCTGGACCTGGTCCCGCCACTCACCTGGGTGTTCTTGGGCCAAAACCGCAACAGACCCTCCAGGGGACTGGAGACTCCCACCCACCCACCAGCGTGCAGCTGAGGACGGTCCCTCCCAGGCCCAGAAGGGGGAGCTCAGACCCTTTCTACCGACTAGATGTTGATTAGACTAGGTGTTCTACCGACAGGTCTGAGATTAGAGGAAAACAAAACAGAACAAAAACCAAACCACTTGCTGAGTCAATTCCAACGCATGGTGTCCCCACAGTACATCAGAGTAGAACTGCCTTCCACAGGGTTTGCAATGGCGTCAATTCCAACGTGTGGTGTCCTCACGTACATCAGAGTAGAACTGCCCCCCGTAGGGTTTGCAATGGCTGATTTGTCAGAAGAAGCCCACCAGGCCTTTGTTCCAGGGTGCCTTGGGGTCAACTTGAACCTCTTACCTTCCCATTAGCAGCAGCTACCCAGAGACCAGAGCAGCCCCTGGCCAACCCCACCCTACCCTGTCTGTACCTCCTAGTGCTGCCCAGTTCCTCAAAGAAACAGTTTAGCATACATTCGCAGGGCAGCTGTACCCAGTTCCAGCCACTGACATCCACAGACCCGACGTGAGCCCACATTCCTGCCCAAACACTTTCCCGGGCTCCTGCTGCTCCGCAAGATCCCATCCTTCCACTGACACGGGCATCATCCGGATGCGCTGAAGGAACCAGCACCTCTGACCAAAGCCTAATTCCAGCTTCCCGTCTCCCATTCAAACAGCCGGGTGCGTGCACAGAGGGCGCCTGGCACGGCCCCACCCCTCTGCAGCCCAGAATTTGAAGCTACACTGGTCCCTCTTCCCACCTGGGCATCCACGGGCAGCATCAGGGCCCTAGGCCTGCCCATGCCTCCCCGTTCCACCCAAATGCCAGCCCATGTGCAAAGTGCAGCTGTAGTAGCCCTGCCCTCCTAGGACCAGATCCTGCAGCTTCCAACTGGGGCATCCAGGCCTAGACTCAGCAGCCACTGAGTAGGGGTCACCTACCCAGGCTCCCTCCTGTTGCTGGGACATGCACACACACGCAAACACACACACAAACACGCAAACACACACACACACAGAATGTGGCTTGAGCGCCTAGGCCCTCCACCAGCCTGGGGGGTTTTGTACAGTCCCTAAAGAGAGTTTGCACTCCCACTCTGAGCCTTGATCGAGCTTGGACAGGTGTCCACAAGCCTCCAGTTGGGTTCTGGGGTCATTGCATGGCTGCCCGTCTCTCACCAAAAGCAAAAAATCAAACTCACTGTCATCAAGTCAATTCCAACACCAATTAACAACCAATAACAACCCCTCCTTGGGTTTCTGAGGAGGTTTCTCTATGGAAGTAGATTGCCCAGTCTGCCTTTCGGGGAGTAGTGGGTGGGGTCCACAGTTGCCTTTTCCCATCAGTCACTCCCCATGCATTGGTATCCCTGGCCTCGGCCTCCAGGTGCGGCTCCTGGTTTGAACTGCCAGCCTTCTCATTAGCAGTCAAATGCTTAGGCACTATGCCATCAGAGCTCCCAGCTGGCATCCGATCACCAGCTGTTTGGACAGAATGCAGGATGTTGCTGTCATGATTGAGGCAGGTGTTCGTGGACCTTTGGTCAGGGCCCAAGGAGGGGTCTCTATGTGTCGAATGGACCTCGATGGCAGTGAGCTTGGTTTTTTGGTTTGGGAAAGAAGACTGGGCAATCTACTTCCGTAAAGATTTACCGCCTCGGAAACCCGAAGGCAGTAGCTGCGCTGGAACCGACTTGATGGCAGCCAGTGAGTGAGTTATAGCGCTAGGAGTTCTGCTGGCACAGTGCTTAAGCGCTTGGCTGCTAACCAAAAGGCCAAGGGTTCAAACCCACTAGCCACTCCCCAGGAGCAAAGACCTAGCAATCCGCTCCTGTAAAGATTACAGCCTACAAAACCCTATGGGACAGTTCAACTCTGTCATATGAGATCACTGAATCTGAATCGACTTGACAGGACCTAACAACAAGGGGAGTATGGAGTCCCGGGGTGGCTGAAATGGTTAAGCAAGGGACCCAGAGGCGCCTCAGCAGGTCTGGGGATCTGCACGCATGGGGGCGCCATGAGTCAGGACCCACTCCACGGCAACCACCACCGGTGCCGCTCGGTGCGTTTTCTTCCACCCACCTGGACAACATCAGGCCCCAGATAGGAGCACTGATTGGCCAAACACCCGCGCATGCGCGCCAAGCACAGCCCCCAGGCTCTGCAGCCGCATCAATCAATCTTCGACCGCAGACCGCAACTAAGGCGCCTCCAGCACAGGTCCCAAATCACCCACCTACACTCGCTTCCAGCTTCCCGCCTACACCCTGCGCATGCGCGCACTGGACACCCGGCGCTGCCCCGCCCCTCACAAACCTGGGCGTCCTTGGGCCCACGGCCCAGGTCTGGCTTGTCCCCGCCTCAGTACCAGGCACGGCTCAACGGCAGAGCGAACCCGGGTTAAGAAGCCCCCCTCCCGGATTCCGCAGCACTACCGGCTCGGGGTAAGGTAGTAGAGCCCCCTCCCCTAGTCGGCATACACAAGGCTTCTCGGAGTTAGGCTCCTTAGGGCTGAGATGCTGAGCGACAACAACCGTCTGCAAACGGGACGATGGCTGCACTGCTGGCTAACCCGGAAGTGCGTTTGGGTTCGGCAAGCCAGAACTGCAATTCCCAGAAGGCTCTGCGGCGCGCCGGGCCGTTGGGCTGCTTTCCAGAGCCTCCTGGGAGCTGGATGTGGTGACTCGGTGAGAACAGCAGGAGGCGTCCGGGTTTTGGTCCCGCCTGGGGGCTGCGACTGTGTGTGTCCGAGCCTCTGCCCAGCGCTGAGACCGGGAACCGTACCCGGAAGCCGAGGCCAGGGATACCGATGCATGGGAAAAGGCAACTCTGGACCCCACTTGACTCCCAGGGACCACCTAGAAAACGGAATCCTGGTAGAAAGGGCGGATCGCCTGTCAGACGCACTCTCTCCCTTGATCTTAGTGCCCGATCTTTGCGACATCTCCGTTTTACAGTCGGCAGAGCTCCTAGCAAAGCGCTTCAAGAATGTTTTTGTACAAATTGAAAACAGATTTTTCTATCCCCCCCAAAAAAAGAATGTTTTTGTACAATAATGGGAGAAAAACACTAAGAATCCTTTCGTTTTTTTTTTTAAATTGAGTTCTTTCTCTACTTATTAAGCCTTAAGGATCTGCCCCCAAACACACAAACCAAAACCAAATCAGTTACAGTCAAAGCCGGTTTCATTTCTGACAGCCTCCTTGTCAGAGTAGAACTGTACTTGCAATGGCTGATTTTTCGGTAGTAGATAACCAAGCCTTCCGAGGTACCTCTGGGTGGACCCACCACCATTAGCCAAGTGCTTAACCATCTGGACCACCAGAGATTCTGCCCCACCCTCCACACACACACACTCCTCCTCCTTGCCTTCACTCCTGCCCCCTTTCCTGGCCCAGCTGTGCCACACTGGCCACTGCCCCCTTCTCCAACACACCATGGAAGTCTCCCCACTCAGGGCCTTTGCATGTGCTGTCCCCTCTTCCTGGCAACTTTTCCTCTCTAGTTGTTCCGTGCATGCCACCACCTCATCAGCCTTCCCAGACCACCCGTTGTAAACTTGGAAACAAGCCCTTCCCTCTCCATGCATTCCACCCTCCATCTTCATTTTTCTCTATAGAACTTTTTATCATTGTGCTATCAGGTGGCGTCAAGTTGATGTCAACTCATAGAAACCCTATGTGATAAGGTAGAACAGCCCCATAAGGCTTGGCTGTAGTCACAGAGGCAGATTGCCAAGTCTTTTTCCACAGAGCCACTGGGTGGGTTCGAACCACCACCCTTTCAGTTACCAGCTGAGAGCTTAACTGTTGCACCATCAGGACTCTTTATCATCTAACGTATTATTATTTTAGGTATTGCTTTGCTCTGTTGCCAACCTGTTTTCACTACAATACCAGGTCTGTAAGGGAAAGGGTTTCTGTCTGTTTTGATCACTGTTCTATCTTCAGCATGTAAAAAAGATATGAGGTACATAATAAACCAAACCCACTGCCGTCCAGTAGTAGTTAAAACACTTGACTACTAACCCACCAGCTCCTCCTCAGAAGGAAGATTGGGCAATCTACTTCCGTAGTGATACTGCCTCAGAAACCCAAGGAGGGGTTGCTGTGCATCGGAGATAACTCAACAGCACATAACAACAACACAACATCGTTAATATCACATGCAAGTAAAATCTTACTGAAGATAATTCAAAAACGGTTGCAGCAGAATATTGACAGAGAGCTTCCAGAAATGCAAGCTGGATTCAGAAGAGGACATGCAACGAGGGATATCACTGCTGATGTCACATGGACCCTGGCTCAGAGCAAAGAATACCAGAAAGATATTTACTTGTACTTGTGTTTTATTGACTATGCAGAAGCATTCGATTGTGTGGATCATAACAAATTATGGATAACATTGAGAAGAATGGGAATTCCAGAACATTTCATTGTGCTCATGAGGAACCTGTACATAGACCAGGAGGCTGTCGTTTGAACAGAACAAGGGGATACTGTGTGGTTCAAAATCAAGAAGGGAATGCATCAAGGTGGTATTCTTTCCCCATACTTACTCAATTTGTATGCTGAGCAAATAATCCAAAAAGCTAGATTATATGAAGAAGAATGTGGCATCAGGATTGGAGGAAGGCTTATTAACAACTGTGATATGCAGATGACACAATTTTGCTTGCTGAAAGTGAGGATGACTTGAAGCACTTACTGATGAAGATTAAAGACTACAGTCTGCAGTATTGATTATACCTCAATATGAAGAAAACAAAAATCCTCACAACTGGGCCCATAAGCAACTTCACGGTGGATGGAGAAAAGATGGAAGTTGTCGAGGATTTCCTATTGCTTGGTTCTACAATCAACACCAATGGAAGCAGCAGTCAAAACATCAGACGACGTATTGCATTGGGCAAATCTGCTGCAAAAGGCCTCTTTCAAGTGCTGATGAGCAAAGATGTCTCCTTGAAGACTAAGGTGCACCTAACCCAAGCCATGGTATTTTCAATCGCCTCTTATGCATGTGAGACCTGGATAATGAATAAGGAAGACCAAAGAAAAGTTGATGCTTTTGAGTTGGAGAAGAATGCTAAGAGTACAATGGACTGCTAAAAGGACTAACGAATCTGTCCTGGAAGAAGTGCAGCCAGAATGCTCCTTGGAAGTGTGAATGGCCAGACTTTGTCTCACCTGCTTTGGTCTTGTTTTCAGAAGGAACCATTCCCTGGAGAAGGATGTCATGCTTGGTAAAGTGGAGGGTCAGCGAAAAAGGGGAAGGCCCTCAATGAGATGGATTGACATAGTGGCTGCAATGATGGGCTCAGGTATAGCAAGGATCGTAAGACTGGCACAAGACCGGGCAGTGTTTAGTTCTGCTCTGCGTAGGGTCACTATGAGTCGGAGATGACTCAATGGCACCTAACAATAACAATAGCAAATCTTTACAAGTAGATTGCCTCATCTTCCTCATGGAGCAGCTGATGGGTTTGAACTGCCAACCTTCCGGTTAGCAGTCAAATGCCTTAGGCACCACACCACCAGAGCACCTATGGAACAGAATGGAGAATCCCAAATAAATCCATCCATCCATCCATAGGCACTTGATTTTCAACCAGGGGTCAAAGTCTATTCAATTGGAAAGAAACAGTCTCTTTAACAAGTGGAGCTGGCAAAACTGGGTATCTCCTTCCAGAAAAATGAAATGGGATCCACACTTCATGCCATACACAAAAACTATGTCAAAATAGAGCAAAGATCTAAAGATTAAAGCAAAAACTAAAAAGTTTCTGGAAGATTGTATGTAGAGAAAACACGATGGGGCCTAATTTTCATTCCAAACCAAAAAACCAAACTCAACTGCGGCCGGGCTGGCCCCGACTCCCAGCGACCCCTCCTTGGGGTCCAGGGCGGTGTCACCGCGGAAGTGGACTGCCCAACCTTCCCTCTGAGGAGTGGCTGGTGGGTGTGAACCGCCAGCCTTCTGGTTAGCAGTCAAATGCCTTGGGCACTACGCCACCAAGTAGATTGTCAAAAACAACAACAAATACATAAACAGTGTTTGAGGTAACGGGGCCATTCTCCTCCTACCCCTGTTCAACTGGCATGTCTATCTGCGTATCCACTCACAGATGATTGTTACCACTGTGGTCCCAGGATTGTGTGGGAATTGGTATTTATCTCTGTTACCTTTAACTCTTGGACTCCTCCCACCATCTTCCTTTCCTTCATCATTTTGTACTGACCGTCCCCCGACTGTATATTGCCTTCCCCTTCACCCAAGTTAATACGTGTCCACCCTCTAGTGCGTGGTTTACTCTCCCCTCCCACCCCTGGTAACCATCAAAGCATATCTGGGCCACTAGAAAAGGGATGATCCTACCTACCTCCAAGGTTGCTATAACGATTAGACAGTCGTCAAAAGGCGAACACCTGGCAGACAGTAGGTGTTCAAAAAACACCAGCTATTCATTTGAGTAATACCACTATTAATTTGAAGAGGAGAGAATGGCCCTAGAGGGTCAGAAAACCCCCTTGGGTTTCCAAGTCAGTAAATCATTACAGAAGTAGATTGCCCCAACATATTTCCAAGGAGCAGCTGGTGGCTTTGAACCGACAACCTCTGGTTAACGCTCAAATCCCTTAGGCACTGAGCCATTAGAGCTCCTTACAGGGTTAGAAGGGAGACAGAAGGGAGCTTTTCCTTTGATCAAATGCAGGATATAGTACGACCAGGGCCCTGAGGAAGGGCTCCCCAATGTGCCACCAGGGCTTCCTGGGTACCAAACCAAAACTTAACCAAACCTACTGCCATCGAGTCAGTTCTGACTCATAGTGACCTCCATTGAGTTTTGAACGGGGTAAATCTTTAGGGAAGATGGCCCCAGCTTCCTTCTGCAGAGCAGCTGGTGGGTTTAAACTGCCAACCTTCTGGTTAGCAGTGAAATGCCTCAGGCACTGTGCCACGAGAGCTCCTTTGCTGGCTACCAGTAAATTTCATTGTTGTCGTTAGTGGCCTTGGAAGAGGTCCTCGATTCATGGCGACGCACTGAACGCTGGAACAAATGACCACCCAGACCTGCGCCATCCCCATCACTGGCTGCGGGACCAGCCCCGTGTGATCCCTAGGATTTTCGCCGGCTGATTTCTGGAAGTAGATGGTCAGACTGTTACTAGTCCATCTTGGTCTGGAAGCTCTGCCGCAAACTGTTCATCAACGTGGCAACGCCCCAGCCTCCGCCGACAGAGGGCGCTGGCTGCGCACGAGATGCCCCGGCCGGGACTCCAACGCCGGTCTCCCTTTTGAACCTTAGAACGCCACCACTGAACCACCGCTGCCTGGTAACTGTCCCAAAGAGCAGTATTTTCGTCCTTACCACCATCCACCCGGCACCTGTCATGTGCCAGGCATTGTGCGGGGCACCTCCTGTCCGTGGTGCGGTCTGACCCTGGGACAGGCACTATTACTGATTTCCCCGTTTGACAAAGGAGAAAAACCGAGGCTCAGAGCTGACAGTCACAGGGTCTGGGGCAGAGCCAGGAGGCAGCACGAGGCCGGGCATCCTCTTA